GCAGTAGAGAGAGAAGCATTCCATGCCCGATTCATAGCCCCAAAGAAGTCACCGAAGTCCTGGACATCTCGAGCAGCTTGCATGCTCGGAGTCCTCCACAGAGAACGTATGGTCCGTAGACACTCGAAGGGAAGACTGAGGAGGTCGAGAGCAGTCTGGGCGGAAGCTGGGACACGAGAACTACTACGGCGACCTAACCAGTCAAGGGACGGTGGTGGCTCATACGCCATAGGAGTGACTAGGAAGGGGGTGTCGAACAGTCTTCGGCGAACATCGGCTATCTCAGTAAGGCTTCGGCGAGAGACGTCCGCTAACCTTGTCCTTGCTTCGTCGTCCAGAGCCCCAGTGTTGACTACATCTACTAACGCCGCAGTAAGATTGTTTAAAGCGTTAGCTTGACGAGAAGAGAAGTCAAGCAGGAGAGATGTATCATTTCGGGCGGCCTCAAGCTGAGTAGTGAGACCGAGGACGAGAGAACGATAAGTGGCGAATTCCTTTTCGTCCTCAGGAATACGGACGTCCAGGGAGATACGAGGGTGGACGAGGGACAACCGGGGAGCAGAGGGACCAGCACGCTGAGTATCTTCACCTTCCACATCACCATCATTGAAGGCAACCTCCTTCTCTTTAGATTTCCCTTTTGATTTCTTTAAAGAAGACTTCGGTGTCTTCTGGGAAGCAGAGGGAGGGGTGACGGGAGGGGCCGCCGAAGTGGCCGGAGGAACAGAAGGACGCCGACTTCGGGTGCTGTGAGCCGGAGGAGAAGCTACCACTGGAGAGGACGGACGTGGCGCCGAAGGACGAGAGGCCGAAGGACGGGAGGCCGAAGGAGCAGAGGCCGAAGGACGGCGAGAAGACGAAGGAGGAACAGCCGGGAGACGTGATGGGCCGGCCACAGGAGCGAAGGGCGACGGCGACGGAGGCGACGGGCGGAGGTCCGGCGAAGTACGGCGAACCGACCGGAGAGACGAAGGAGGTACCCGCGAACGGGGGACAGACGCTGGAGTCTGAGGAGGGGGGAAGGGCGAAGAGTCGGAGGGACGGGGCGGGATGTCCCGGGCAGAGGAAACGGGACAGAAGGAGCAGGGGCCAGACGTGCATGAAGCACAACGGAGGGCCTTGTTGTGTGGCCTGACTGCCTTGAGGCAGGGCCAGTTTGGACGATTATACGTGATAATCTCACGTCTACTAATTAGCAGGAGTAACTTCGGCGTAGAACGAATAGGTGGACTCACCGGCAACGATCACACGCTTCGTCAACACCAACCGCGATCCAACGACCAGGCTCGTACTTCATCTTCTCCCACAAGTACTCTTCTTCCCGCAGTGATCTCTTCACCCGTTTGGGCGAAGGCTCCCCTCTGGGAGAAGGGGGGGGAGCAGCGACAGCAGCGGCGGCAGCGGCGATGGCGTTGGGGGGGGGGAGAACCCCGGAAGAGGAAGAAGAAGAGGAAGAAGAAGAAGAGGAAGAAGAAGAAGAAGAGAGGGAACGGCGTCGTTTCTGGCCCACAATTTGAGCAGGGGGAGGGGCAGGACCGGCTGCGAGTTAGCAATGTCTTGGAGAGCTAAAGAACAGATAAACAAGGCCAAGTTCGGCGAAGGTGTGAGGGGTTGGACGAAGAACTCACGCTCAGGACTATCTACGTTGTTGTCCTCTACACTAATCACCTCCACATCATCATCCGGGTATTCTTCTAACTCGCTTTCACCCTCACTATCGATCCTACCCTCCCCATCATCATCATCCTCACTTTCTTCGGTGTCGGGTCGATCACCCGACTCCGAGCCCCCACTGAGCGAGTCCTGGTCGGAGGAGGACGGAGACTCACCAGGACGAAAGGCGGGCGTCCTACGGCGAGGAGTGGCGGCAGGAGGAGGCCCTCCAGGAGAACCTGTTATGGGGACGGGAGAACTCAGACATGGGGGAGGGAGAACTCAGCGGAGGGAGAGGCGGAGCGAGGGGGCGGGGCAGCGCTCAGACGGCTCTCTCCAGAGAGAGAGTG